CACTATTTCAAAAGCAATGCAATGGTACTTACCACATGGCAAAGAGTTATCCTCTTCTACTGCCGTGGTATAGGTCCAATCCTCCTTTCTCCAGCCTATAACACCACTATCCTGGCAGTCCTCAGATTGGGTTATATTTGCCTTGTCCCACATTCTGAACATGTACAGTTCCCCACTCATACCCTGGTGAGGTGATGCAGCTGCACCTCGCAGCTTTGAACAGCCAAGTAAGAACTGGCCTTTTCCGGGCAAATTAACTTTCCCCCTTAGTTTTTTGTAAAATTTTTTTTTTCCATTTATGAATACCTTCATCTCCTCATTGTCACTTTTCCACTGGATACATATTTGGTTCCAAGTGTTTTCATGAAGTCTTGCTGTTTTATTTATTTGATTTCCAAATAACCATATGCTCAGTTTGCCACGATCTCCCGCAAGTCCAAGATCATACTTATTTGTAGAGACATTGGTGTGAGGTGCTTCTTGAGTGTATACATATGCTATCCATGGATTTTGTGATGAATACAGTTTGAGGTCCACACAGACAAGGAATTCTTTCAAGGGATGCAGAGAAATTCTTGATGACATAATCCAAGGATCTTCACATGCAGTCTTAAAGACAGCTTTATATCGCCCCAGGAAATCCTCCTGATCTAAATAAAGAAAAGGTGATTTGTAAAATTATTTTGATTTTAAAAGTATCTTTTATACCGATGTTATTCTTCCATATAGTACTGTTCCTAGGCATTTATGTAGGAGTTTTTAAAACAATGCATTAAGAAATAACCTTATAATCTACCCTTTTGGTGGGTTTTTTTTTGTTTGGTTTGGTTTTTTTGGTTTGGTTTGTGGTGGTGGTGGTTTTGGTGGTTTTGTTGTTGTTTTTTTTTTCTTTTTTCGGTGATAGGGAAGTGACAGTTTTGGAGGCAGTCAATAAATCCTAGCTGCTCATGAAAGCTTTGAAGTAAAACTCATGCACAAGACCAAGGATGACCATGTAGAACCACAGAATTGTTTAGGTTGGAGAAGACCTCTAAGATCATCAAGTCCAACTGCTAATCCAGCACTGCCAAGTCCACCACTAAACCATATCCCTCAATGCCACATCTACATGTCTTTTGAACACCTTCAGGGATGGTAACTCAACAGCTTCCCTGCACAGCCTGGTGCAATGCTTGACAACCCTTTCCATGAAGAAATTTTTCCTAATATCCAACCTGAACCTTCCCTGGCACAACTTGAGGCCATTTGCTCTTGTCCTATCATTTGCAACCCGGGAGAAGAGACAACCCCTATCTCGCTGCAACCTCCTTTCTGGCTATAAGCAATTAGGTCTCCTCTCAGCCTCCTCCAGGTGCAACAACCCCAGCTCCTTCAGATGTTCCTCATAAGACTTGTGCTCCAGACCCTTCACCAGCTCCGTTGCCCCTCTCTGGACACACTCCAGCAACTCAGTGTCTTTCTTACCATGAGGGGCCCAAAACTGAACACAAGATTTGAGGTGTGGTCTCACCAGTTCTGAGTAAAGGGGGACAATCACTGCCCTGTTCCTGCTGGTCACACTACTGCTGATACAGGCCAAGATGCCATTGGCCTTCTTGACCACCTGGCCATACTGCTGGCTCACTCCAGACAGCTGTTGATCAACACCCCAAGGTCCCTTTCTGTTGGGCAGTCTTCCAGACACTCTTCCCCAAGCTTGTATGTAGCACTGCCTGGGCTTCATTCTGCTCCCCATCCCTCTCTTCTAGCTCAGGGGACTGGGTATCCAGAGGGCAACTGGTCTTTCTAATAACATCTGAGGCAAAGAAGGCATGAAGGCATCAGTCCTTTCCTCAAACTGTGTCATTATGTTTCTCCCTTCATCCAAGAAAGATTCTGGAGATTCTCCTTAGCCCTTTGGTTGCTAATGTATTTATAGAAACATTTTTTATTGTCTTTTACAGTAGTGGCCAGATTAAGTTCTAGCTGAGTTTCAGCCCTTCTGCTTTTCTCTCTGCATAACCTCATGACATCCCTGTAGTCCTCCTGAGTTTCCTGCCCCATTTTCCAAAGGTCATAAACTCTTCTTTTTTTCCTGAGTTCCAGCCAAAGGTCTCTGTTGAGCCAGGCCAGTTGCCTTCCCCTCTGGCCCATCTTTTAACCTGCTCTTGTCCCATTAAGATTTCCTTCTTGAAGAAGAATGTCCAGCCTTCCTGAGCTCCTTTGCTCTTCAGGACTGGTCTCCCAAGGGACTCTGTCAATCAGTCCTCTCAATAGGCCAAAGTCTGCACTCCAGAACTCCAAGGTGGCAGTTCTGCCGACTTCTCCAAAAATCAAAAACTCTTATAATTTTGAGATCACTTTGCCCAAGACATTCTCCAACCATCACACCATGCACCAGCCCTTCTCTGTTCACAAACAACAGGTCCAGCAGGGCACCTTCCCTAGTTGGCTCCCTCACCAACTGTGTCAGGTCACCTTCCAAGTGCTCTGGTAACCTCCTGGACTGTTTCCTCAACTCTTTCCTCTCTGCTGTGTTTCCAACAGACATCTGGTGAGGTGAAGTCCCCCATGAGAACAAGGGCCAGCGATCGTGAGACTTCTCCTAGGTACTTACAGAATATTTCATTTGCCTCTTCAGCCTGGTTGGGCGGTCTATAACAGACTCCCACCTTGGGAGGTCTGCGAAGGCCTTGTTGGCCTTCCCCTTGACTCTTACCCATAAACACTCAAGCCTGTTGTCACCATCATTAAGCTCCAAACAATCAAAACACTCCTAATGCAACACAGCTACCCCACTGCCTCTCCTTGCCCGTCCCTCCTGAAGGGTTTATATTCATCCATTGCAGCACTTTGGGTGTGAGTCATACCACCATATTTCTGTGATGGCAGCTGTGGCATCATCTTCCTGCTGCACAATGGCTTCCAGCTCCTGTTTGTTGCCCACACTGCATGTGTTGGTGTGGATGCACTTTAGTTGTGCTACTGATCCTTACACCTCTCTGGAGGGAGGAGCCCTGGTTCCTCCATGATCATTCCCAGGCACTTCCATGCTTTTTAACACATAATAATGCTGTGGGGATCTCCATCCCCTGATTCCACTGAGATGGCAGACCAAAGGATGCTGCTAGCACACAATCCCTCAGATACTGATGTGCTGCCCCGAGACTTCTCTAGTGATCCTGGTTTTTAGCCTTTTCTGTCTTCAAATCTAGTTTAAAGCTGTTCCAATGAGCACTGCTAATTCCAATGCAAAGATCCTTTTCCCACTTTGAGATAGGTGTACCCCATCTGTCGTCAGAAGGCCTTCTGCCGTGTAAACCGATCCATGATCAACTAAAACGTAGCAATCTAAGGAATTTCTAAGATTCTCTAAGAATCTAAGAAATGACAAGTGGGAGGCAAAAAGAAAATCACAGGTTGTGTGTCCTATACCCAGGACTGCACAGATATTTTGCATTTAACAGATGCTGGATAAAATACAGAAACAGAGCTAGAAGGCAGCACTATAGCCCTCACTGCCTTCTTATTTCTCAGTCTTGCATCCTCCTCTGAACAAGATCATATTTCTCCATGCCATTTTTTAAAAAGGGAAAGCAAAAGACCCAGGGAACTACAGGCCAGTAAGTCTCACCTCTGTGGCCTGCAAGATCATGGAGCTGATCCTCCTGGAAACTATGCTAAGGCACATGGAAAAGAAGGAGGTGATCAGGGACATGGCTTCACTAAGGGCAAATCGTGCCTGAAAAATTTGGTGCCCTTCTAGGACAGGGTTAAAGAATTAGTGGATAAGGGAAGAGCAACTGATGTCATCTACCTGGACTTTCACAAAGCATTTGACACCATGCCACATGACATTCTTGTCTTTAAACTGGAAGAACACGGATTTGATGGATGGACCACTCAGTGAACAAAGAATTGGCTGGCAAGTTGCACTCAAAACATTGTGGTCAACAGCTCAATGTCCATGGAGAGACCAGGGACTGGGGGTGTTCCTCAGGGTGGTACTGGGACCAGAACTGTTTAACATCTGACAAGGGCAGTGGGATCAAGTGCACCCTCACCAAGTTTGCCAACAACACCCAGCTGTGTGGTGTGGTCGACACACCGCAGGGAAGGGATGCCATCCAGAGGGACCTTAACAGGCTTTAAGATGGGCCTGTGCAAACATCATGAAGTTCAAAAAGCCAAGTACAAGGTTCTGTACCTGATTCAGGGCAATCCCAAGCACAAATACAGACTGGGCAGAGAATGAATTGAGACAAACCCTGAGAAGAAGCACCTGGGAGTGTTGGCTGATGAAAAGCTCAACATGACCCAGCAATGTGCATTTGCAGCCCAGAAAGCCACTCATATCCTGGGCTGCACCAAAAGCGGTGTGGCCAGCAGGTCAAGGGAGGGGTTTTGCCCCTCTGCTCTGCCCTTGAGATACCCCACCTGAAGTGCTGCATCCAGCTCTGGGGCAAGAGAAGTTGTGGCTGCCCCATCCCTGGAAGTGTTCAAGCTCAGGTTGGATGGGGCTCTGAGCAATCTGGTCTAGTGGAAAGTGTCCCTGCCCATGGCAGAGTGGTTGGAATGAAATGATCTTTATGGTCCCTTCTAACCCAAACCATTCAATAATTATATGATTTCTTCCCCCACCTTGAGATTCTTAAATCCTCACCTGAATACTTTGCAGTTACAGCAAAATAGGTGAAAACCAGCCATATTCTAGAGAGAATGAGTTTAGGTAACTTTTAGAAAACTTGTTTTGGAGCCACTGGTTTATTTGAAATTCAGCCCCCATTCCCTGCTCTCTATCAGAGAACTTGGTTGCAGAGATATCTGGTCTGTGAATCTCAAATACATGTGTCCTTAAGACAGTGGCAACCTGGAGTTCAACTTGGATAATAAATAGAATTTGAGGTGTCAGTAGTAAATTTACTGGTAAAAAACAATGTTCTAGGCTCTGTCAATGGTAAAACAAGTAGTTCCAGATAATGCCTCAAACACTGTTCAGTGCTTGTAGGTGCCTCATTTCCTCCACTGTCCCAGTACAGGAAAGGACAGACTTTTGTGGCTGTAGATGTAAGCTCTTTGGAGCTGACTCCCATTTTGTGGAAATATACACATTCCAATCACATAATCATTATCATGATTGCTTGCTTTTAGGGTGCACACATCAACAACAAAGTAAGAAAATGGTCCTTTGGAAGGTGAAGTGGAACTACAGAAAATGATCAGTCTGGTAAATGCTCAGCCAGTGCAAGAGAACACGCTACTGACACCTTTAAGGAGGCCATTATTTATCAATATAAGCAGACCTTTTATGAATGCTCCAGAGGAGGTTTGGGATTAATCATGACTGGTCAGGGTTGGAAAGCAGAAAAAAAATTGGTCAACATAGGGGAAAAAAGCTTTTCCACCAGCTCCCCTGTAAGAAGACAAACTTCCAGGCAATTTGGAGCAGGGTTTTTTTTCCAGGGTAAGTTACAGTCCTAGTTAGCTGTCAAGATCACAGCCAGGTCTTCTGTAATCTCAAGTAACCAGAGCATCATCTTTCATCAGGCCAATTCTGACAACTTTTCTGTCTCTTGACCTCAGGGCTCTCAAGTTTCTTTTTCGACAGCAAAAAATGAAAACAAGGAGAAAGTTCCTAACTTTCAAGTGCAGCTTGATACATAAAATCTACCAGAAAACATTGTAAACACAAAATATAACAATCCAGCTACATGTAAAGTCATCGATCTAAATTCTTGTTGCATACTAGAGCTTTGAGACACTAATTAGCAAAAACCTTTCCCATCCCCCAATCATTCCTGAAGTTCAACATACATCTTGTAAGTGCCATGCAAGGCTACAGACCAAACAAAAAACTCTCTGAGTACAGACTGAATCGGGTGAAAATCCTAACCAGCAGACATTGGATTTTGAATGGTGAGATAATACTTAGATTGGCTCTAAGTGGCAATGGAAAAGAAAAACATACTTGACCCAACAGCAATCAGCAGAATTATTTCCCCTCTGCCCAACCCTACAGCTGAATTCACTCATTCAGTCTGGCCACTTGTCAGAGTCTAAAAGCAAAAGCATGGAAAAAGCATGGAAAACCAATTTTTAAAACAGCTTAAAAGCTGGGATGATGAAGAGTGGATGGGAGGGGAAATTGTCACATAAGACAAGATTTTTAGATACAGGCTCAAATGTACCTTCCATTTTTTGTAAAAGGATTACTACAATTAAAATAGATCTGCCACCTTGCAGCGTGGACAGATCACGAGGAATCTGATTTTATAAAGGAAACTGCTAGCTAGTTACATGCCAACACTTGTGACACAGTCTCTCCAAATAAAAATAGTTGCTCAAGTCTTTCATTATTAAGTGGGAATTCTGCTGAAGGTTTTGAAAAATTTGATGCAGCTGCTGTTCCTCAGAGTATATGTCAGAAATATACTTGCATGACTCACATAGCTTCCAAAATTCCTGTAAGCACTCTTGAGCATGCAGATATGGTCAAAGTGACTGCTTAAGGAAGTTTCCTGACACAGCTTCAAAACCTGAAGTCACTGTTAAGTATCCAAACTGACAGACTGGAAAACTATTTCTGAGCAAAAATATTAACCAACACTTGAAATACCATCATCAGACTTTACTTTGGAAGTGAGAAAACTGTGAGAGAGGCTTGATTTCATGTTAAGGATTAAATCAGTGTTGATGTGCCAATAGTTAATTAAAGGGTTGCTAAATCCTATTACATTATTCAGGGGAACTGACACTTCAGAGTTGTCAAGGGAGGCAGAATGGGTACAAATTTGCAGATGAAAACAGTCATAAGACAGGTAGCCAACAGAAATCATGCAAAATGACAACAATCTGATGATGATTCTTCTGGTCTACTCTACATAATTCAAAGACCACTGTTGAGCAGTACACAGGGACTGAAGAATGACTTTAAACTAACAAAAGCATTTACATAGAGAGGTCTAACCTTCTGGAATCTGCAAAGGCCGGCCCACTTTGCCCTAAACAGTTATTAAAAAAAAGTGCCAGAAAGGGGTGCCAAAATTAGGAGAACAGATATGAACACTATCTGAATTGTTATAAGAAAGGCTTGGAAAATTTCATATGCTTTATCTACCCAAAGAATGCGGAAAAAGCACAGAAGAAATCAAAACCATAGTCAGCAAATGCACTTTGCTGTTCCAAGTGGAGTACAGCATTATGTTAGAAATTTATTATCAGTATTATCTTGGTTAAGTCTCTTTGATATGTGGGTGGATGCCATGTAAGTAGGAGACGACTTTACATTAAAGCCTTTGTAAGTTCTGTTAATCATCACTTATTTTCTCTAGTAATGGTACTTGTGGGTTGTGGCCCACCCTTGACCATGGAACCGAGGAGCTGGAACTGGTTGTGCTCTGATTGTGGCATTCCTGACTTATAATTAGTTTCCTTGGGTCCAGACAATACAATACACTCAGAAAAGTACCTATGAACACACCCTTATCACCACAGCACAAAAAAAGTAGCATAGTAGGAAGAATGCTCCAAACATCTCCAGAGTAAGAAAAATTAGTGGGGGAAAAAAAAAAATTACAATTTGGAGTGAAGGAAACTCCATGCAATAGTAATCATGGGATGGCTTTTCAATGTCATTTGCTGTATTTGGGCACATCAGCCCTTTCAGAAATGCAAATTTTTAATTCTTCCTATATTTAACAGATGCAAGAGTTGGGGTTTTTAACCTTACTGAAATAAAAGCATCCACTTAATAAGTATGTTCTCTTAAGACCTAAAAGAAATCCTGAAACACATGTGCATACTTCCAAAAGGTTTAAAATAAACTTTCTGAAAATGAAAACAAACAAAAAGGCAGTATCTTTTTTTCAAACCTTTTTTGTTTGAAACATTTCTAGATGGTGATAACTGATGTCTTTACAAGAGATAGCCAGCCATAGGTAGTAAGAATTACACATACAGGAACAGATCCTCTCAGTACATTAGTACCAGTGTTATTTTCCTTATATTTCCTTATATTACTTGCATTACTATTAACCACTGTGTCAGTATAGTTGAGTATTAATACAGTCAAGTATTCTATTGAAATAAAAACCAGTCACAAGTTTATGTGTCTGCACAATCTGGCTTTTAACCAGTAACAACAGTCATTAACTTCCTTGCAAGTGTTTGCCACCTGTAACACATTTGGCTTGCCACAGTCCATTAAAATGACGTCAAAAGAATCTTGTATACTAATATATTCCATCTAGAGCTCATAAATGTTCTTTATAAAAAGTTTAAAACTCTAAACTTTCTACATGTGGGTCACTTGATTCTGCTGAACATTTGGAAATCTGAAGCTAAGAACTGTTTCCTCAAAATTAATTTCATCCCTCCTTTTCATTCACAGTTGTATTTGTTTATCTGGGGATAAACTATGCCATGTTTTTCAGTGTCCTAGGCATCAGAAAAAACACAAGCAGTTCTTCTCCGTATTTTTTGGAGAACACACATACTTTGGCACTTCAGATGACAAAACTGAGTAGAGATGCTGCTGACAGTACTAACAGCCTAAAACAAAAAAAACCCAATAAAATACAATGAAACCATAAATATGCCCTTGTGTCTGTCTAGCTTTTCTTGAAGGATTTCTGACATTTGCAACTGATACAGAGGTGAAAAACAAAATCCTTCTTTGCTTGCTTCCTCAGAACTCTTCTATGACATGTCAACCTGCTGAGCAGCTCTGTCCTTTTTAATATTTTAAGTACAAGACATTAAAACCTCTACATCTTAGTAGCAGTTTTATCACCTGTATCTCAGATTCTCTCTCAATAAAATCATTTTATGAAAATGATTATATTTGGAGAATTAGAACCAAAATTTATCTCATCACTAAACCTATGAAATCTCATTGCTTGTACATTAAGCAGGCATAGTTAAATTAAAAAAAAAAAAAACAGCAGTAAATTCAAACTGAAAGAAGCTTTGACCTTCTAGAGTAAAAATATGCCATGACACAGGAAGCAGCTTCTGAAACTAGCATTAAGTAAACGGAAAAAAAAACACTTCCAATTTTTTAATAACTCAAGCACATTGCTAATATGATAAATGTATTACACACTATCGATATACAGAAAGTTTATAAATGACAAGCACTGTTATTCTTATCAGTTGGGGTCTAGAGGGGTGACAGTCTAACCATCAGTTTTCAGAATAGCCATGAGAAAACACAAATTACTTTACCTCACTTTATTCTACCTTACCTGACACAAAACCATGACAGAACTTATCCAATTTGTACAAGAACTCTATGAAGTTACACATTTTGAACCTTACTACTTTCTCCTTAGCCATATTCAGATCAAGAGAATGCAGATGCTCTATGCTCATACACATCCTAAATAGAGTGAAGCTCAAAGAATTTTGTGGTGTTTTTGTAAGAACAGCCTAAAAGATTTAACAATGTGTTCTGAAAGTAGGAACACTTGCAGTTTAAAAAAACAGCAAGAAAATAATTTGTCTTGTTATGTCATATTGTGTTTTTGTTGCCTCCTCATTCATAACCCAAAAGAAGTTACTACCAATGATCTTTTATGAAAACATAAAAGCATCCAAAATGCAAAGCACCAACTGGTTCATTTCTTGTTAGTGACAGATTTTCCTCTTGATTTCAGGAGGGCAAAAACTTGCCTGTTCTGAATACATTCAAAAGTCCTATTCATCAAGACGAATGTGATTTATTTGGAATATCAACACTAGACAAATGAGGAAAAAATTCTCTTACCTTTGCCCGCTGTAGCCAGGAACAACTGAAGTAAAAGGACTGCTTGAAAAATCCTGAATCTCAAGAAAATGCCCTGTATTCTGCCAACGCAGCAGTGCTGTTTTCCCCAGGCAACCATTCTAAAAGAAAATAAACAAATAAATAAACAAACCACAATGACTAGAAAAAGTGTAGGTGTGTGGACATTGTGAAAAATTATGTTTCCAACACAAGAGTATAAATCTTTTCAACCCCGTTATACTATTGGGCATATATTGCACAGAAATGCACAAATCCTCTGTACATTGCCAAGACACTAAGAAAGAAAGAGCTGTTTGCTGAAAAGAAAAACAAAAACAAAACAACCCTAACTCGAGCTTTAACTCTCCAAGGACTCACAAATACATCAGAGCATGATTCCTTGCACAAGTAAGACTTTCAACATTTGAAAAACAAACCAACAAAACTTCCAAAAGATATACACACACAAACAAACCAAACAAAACCCCAAACAAACAAACCCAACCAAAACCTGGCAGAGTAAGGATGGAGAGCTTATCCAAAAGCTTTGTTAATCTCATCAAGAATGTAAGAAAGCATCTCTTCAGTCCCCTATCCACATGTAGGGGACTCTCATGTGACATTCTAACAGAAGCACTGTGAACTCCTAAGGAAGAAGCAAGACTTTGATTCCCAATTCTCATCTCATTCTCAAGGCAAGAAGCTACTGAAAAAAAAAAAAAAAAGAGAAAAAAAAAAGAGAGAAATGGTACAAGTCACTGTGGGCAGCAAGTTCATGGAGAGCACCATGAAAACCTGGTTTGTGCTCATTTCTTCCTAGTGATGGTTGTCTCATGTGAGCAACAGGACATGGTGTTGGAAAAAGAATGTGCCTCCTATTATGAGAGATAATGCTCTATGAAATGACACAGTTTTTTAAAGATCTTTTCAAAAAAAGGTACATCTGAATATTTTGCATACTGAAAGAAACTTTAAGTAAATATTCTGGTGCTCTCAGCAGGCATTAATTCTTAAATAAAAAAGTTTGGAGATACATAGTTGCAAGTGCCTCTATAATTGATTTTTGAAACAAATGCATAGCAATAGATTTTACATATAGACTACCTTTAACGTATCAGCTTTATGGTAGAACAGAGCATTCTGCACAACACCAGAAGTTTAATTTTGCAATCACAGGTCTGGTGCATGTATGAGTGTACTGGTTCGCAATCCTCCTGCTCCCAAACTGCACTCTGCTTCTGTAGGTGCTGTATTAGGTTGCAATAGGTTAAGGCACTGTAAATGGTGAACTCTTTCAGGCGTTGTAAATTTGTGTTAAGGTTACGGCTTAAATATTTTTGGTGGTTTTTTTCAAGTATTCACATAAATGCAAATATCTGTCAATACAAAATGGTTATTATGGGCTGAACTCTCCAAGAGAAGTGCTAGAGGAATAAACTGAGAAACAGTGAAGTTGCTAGGTGATTGATATTTGGGAAAATGATTAAATGTACAAGCAATAAATTATACACATGTAACAACACAGCATATAAAGCATAAAGCAAATGCTTCTCAAAAATTAAGAGCACTGCAACATCGTTGCCAGTGTTTTAAATAATTACATAGTAGGTAATATTTCCAGCAAAAAAAGAGAAAAAAAAAAAGGTAATACAGATTGCATTAAAAAACACCAATCTGGATGATGACAATACTGCTTCCACAAAAATCAAGCATACTAAAACTGACAGAAGACAAATCTCATGCTAAAACAATGGTCATAGCTAATACACACAATCCCATGCAGGAACAGATCAAAATGAAACAAAAACAAGTAAAAAAGGCAAGAAGTTTCAAAGGCAGGCTAGCTTTCTAGAGATTCACAGGAAACATGTTCAAATCTGTCTTCAGCTTGTTTCTCTGAATGCCTAAAAATCATGCATTAATAAAGTTGTTTGGTCAGCAAATGAAGTAGTAGAATTACATTAATTTTCCTAACAACCTGAAAATGAAGACTTCCATGCTTAAATGCATCTATCAACTTCGGGGATTGTGCATCTACAATGTAATTTTCTAGGGTTAAAAGAAATGCCCATCCAAAAGCCATGCTTCCTTTCTCTGCTTACTCACGCTTCTCATTCTAGTCTCAAATTAGGTCCCTTCCAAGCAAAACCAAGCTGCACATCTATTCTTCCATTTTATGGGGAAATCTCTTCCTTTGTACACTAAACCAGCTACCTGGAGTAATGTATTTAGACACCAAAACAAACAAAAATTCCAACATACCTTGTCTCTACTACCTAGACACCAAGAGTTGAAATGTGAACACGATGGAGTTCAAAAATACTCTGGCATCCACAAGTTTAGCCACTGATGCCGGTAAGTACTGAGGCAAACTGCTTGCTTTGTGTCACCTGTGATACAGATTTGGAATGCTTCTATATTTCCTGCATTTAGTTTTCTCCTTAAGCCTCAGTTCTGCAAATAGATACACGTGAAATGAGCTGACTAGGACAAAGGTTTATTCCTGAACCATCAAGCATTCCTTCTATTTGGTCTGGTAGATCTCTAATATTAAAGTTAGTGTCCTATCCACCAGGAATAACAGTTGCATTACAAAAGTCTAAATTTGAGGACAGGAGCCAAGCAATTCCTTGTTCTGACTCCAGCTCTGCCTGAGCACTATGTAGCCCTTAGGAGTTTGAATGGACCTTCCTCTAACTCTGGCCTTCCAGAGTGAGCTTTGCTAATATTTGTCCAGTGTTTAAATGAAAGGCTGTAATAAATATTTAGGGTTTTATCTCAACTGGGGTTTTTGACCACTATTTTTGTTCTCACTTCATGAGATGGACCCAAGCAAAGACAAGTGGGGACAGATGCGAGTTTCTTGTTGACTGAACACAGTCACATCAAGAACTGTGAAACTATTCAAAGCTATGAATGAAGATTAATATCCCAGGGAAAGCAATCAAATCCAGATAGCAGGAAGCTGAGTAACTGTATGAAGTGAAATACCGACATGGCCACAGCACAAGTGCCTTTTGCAAGACTTTGTGCATTTACACTAGCTCAAGATTGTTCCAAGTCTGGATAAAATATACTATTAAAAGAGTTGGGAAAGAAAAATTAGTGTTCCTTTCTTTTTGCAACAATGCTGTTTAGCCATTACCAAAGAAAAAGGTGCTTTGATAGATTTTTTTTTTAAAGGAAAAAACACCAAGATATAAAATATGACTTCACCATATCCACTAAGTTCCTCTTAAAATTAAGTCCTTCTCTGTTTTAGAATCCTAAAGCTTTACTCTTAATGATCCTGAACAGTAATGTCACTGCAAATATATAGTTGTCAACATTATATAATTAGGCATAAATGATTCTTTTCATGGTTTTAATTTTGCTCATTTGTTCAAATGAACATTTTTATTGTTCTTTATGACAGATGAATCAGAGATTCCAGTATGAATATGCATAGTTTTTGCAGTTGAATGAAAAATTTTCATTTGTAAGTCAAGCAAATCTAATCAAGTACAACAGTTACTGAGCCACCCAGATGTGGGAAAGAATTTTATGCACAGACTACAGGTAAAGACGTAACTGGCTGTCTTTACTTTCTCACTTACAACAAGGAACTTTTTTACAAAGAGCTAAGTGTCTGAAGTAGACAAGAATATGAAACATTTCTTTATGGGCGGCAGAAAAGGTGGAAATTCAGAAAATAAAGGCTCAGGTATAAATCTGCTCTCTCTTGTTTGTTCTCCATGAAGAGTGCTCTATTTTGACCACTCACAATCTTATAGCATTGGCACCCAAGTTTCACAACATTTCACACTATGTTATTAAGCTGAAAGTCAAACTAGAATTGACAAAACTTTTCTTAAAACAAACGAAAAAAAATTAGACGGTTATTTTGTATGTTGTGTTACATATGATGTTGTTCTGCATTAATATCCCGTTCTCTGGAAATTAAAGAATTTAGTGGAAACAAAGACAGGAAGATGGTTTAAAAAGGAGTCTGTATTCTTATCATTAATATGAATTAGCTTATGCCATGCTATTTTACTTTACTGCTTTCCAAGCGTGCACCTACAGGTGACATATGAAGACATATAGGACTTACCTTCAGCAACTGCTTGCCTTGTATCACATCAGATATATTTTCTACAGGATTGAAGCCAAAGGAAGTGCAAAACATAAACACAGCTGTTGTGTTCTGTAGTGTATTTTGTTAAGTCACTCTTTGAAAAATACATCTAAATTTCACAATTCCTGCTGAAAATATCTATTTACTGGCAGTCCTCAACATTTCAACTGTTATGCCAAGTTTTAGCCAGAGCAGGTTGTCACTGCCAATGCGTAAACTGCTGGTTACAGAAACTTATGTTGGAAATCATGACCCAAAGCAATCATTCATTTACTCCTAATCATGCTGCCTACTGCTGCACTTTAAACTTTTTTGTTCAGGTCACACTTATTTCAGCCATAGTCTTTGGGGGTCACTCTGTCTTCTGGAGTTATCCCCTATTAAAACTTTGGATTTTAATAAAAATACTTCCAAATGTAGAGAAGTTATGCTGAAGAGGAGGGTAATAATGAATGGTAAACTTCTGGCTGCTTTTTTGTAACAGTCTGCCTTATTCAAATCTATACCAGGTGACAGAAGGCTAAAAAGAGTAAGAGAAACACATCATACTGCCCACATATGAAAACTTTTTGATGTCTTTAATTACTTTCAAAAATGTAAGACTGTAGACTTCTTCCATCAACTCTTTATATTTTCCAGACTGGAACCAAAATGCAGTAAAGTTCTTATGTTATTTTTAAATTTTGGCTGAAGTAACTTAGATGTAATAGGGAGGACGCTTATGTTGGAAAGTCTTATGTCACTGTGAATCTTGGCACACACAGTATTCACTGACTTAACAGCAGAAGTAGCACCACTGATTTTAAAATGTTGTTCCATGGGGGGTTTTTTATGTGTTTTTCCAGAAGACAGTAATAAGGTTATTACTGTCTGATAATATCTTGATTTTCATTAATTTTCTCCATGTTAATCATGGCTGTAAAAACAGGCACTTTACGTAGAACATCAATTTTTTCTAAGACTGTAACAGTAATGTGTTCAAGGACCTTCCAAAGATGTCCTCCTGACACAAATCTTTACTGTTTTCAAAGATATTAAATATTTTACTTTTTAATAAGTTGGCTTACAGAGAGCAACAAGCCACTTAGTTACAGACATCAGTCACCTGCAAAACTCATGGCTCTCTGGTTCATTTCTTAATAAAACCAAACAGGAGGAAGAGCTCTCTGAGAAATCCATTCTTTTGTTAAGCCTTTCAACTGTTGCAGGATACTGTGGCCTAAGAAAGACTTTCTAATGTATTTTATTTTGCAAATACCAAGCTGTGCAAGCCAAGATGTGCCTTCAGTCTAACTCATGTTAGATTCATGTAAAAGTGCAAATTAATCACTAAGGCCTGTGTAAGTGAATTCAGGGGTGTGACATGCTATTGGATGGCTCTCCATCACGGACATCAGTGCCAAAACAAAGCACTTTTTGTACTTAATTCTGTTGTACAGCAACTTGTGTCATATGTAGTGCAAAAATGAAACAGGGGACAATTACAAGCAAGCTTTTGTTCCCTCTCATCCAGATTGGAAACGTTTCACCTCCTTATATGCAATTGTCACCTGGGAGATGAACAAGAGGCCTCTCTCTAGCTCTTATAAAAGTTTGACACTATCCAGGAAATCCTTGTCTGCACTATATATTCCCTCGAGAGCACAGTATAACCCACACACTCTATTAAATCTTCCAGAGCAAACTAAAAAGCCCTTCAGTGACAACACCTCAGCAGGTTTCCGCTTCAAAGAGTTTGCAAGGTACTGATGATGCGTGAGAAGCAGAGATGTAATAAAAGTAGTTATGTCTGTCACAAGTCTGGTTATTTCAACTTCAGAATGTTTACATTTTCATTAATAAATAATACCTAGGGTTTAAAGGTATATAGGTTTAATGGAGGAGGAAACCACAAAATGTGTTCCGCAGCGTACAAGACTGCAAGTACAACAAAGACCACATTACAGGTGCATCAAAAAAGATTAAAGGAACACTAGACATGCACCTTGAGCCATGTAAAGCCATGAGAAAGGGTGTACAAAGGTATAAGCAAAAAAAAAAAAAAAGCAGACAAAAGGGTTTGGAAAGCCTTTATATTCAGTTACAGGACTTGAATTTGCTGCAGAGATAAAGAGGGAAGGACAAAGACTTTCCTAAAGCTCAAATATTCAAATCAGTGAATAATGTAAGCAGGCTGTGAGGAATCAAGGGAGGGCCAGGCATGCCAAAAAGAACACTGTCCAGCTCATGCTTTCAATTTTCCTACTTTTCAAAAAACGAGTTCTGAAAGTTTCATCTTATTGTAAGTGGGGGAAAATAAAAAGTAAATAGTGGTTTCTGCTCACTCATCCCCACTCTCCTTTCCATCTCTCTTGGCTTGAACAGCAACACCCTAAAAGAGAAATTATATTGTGATTTCATCCTAGGCTTCACTTTATGGACTTAACAGATCTCTTGGATCTAGCACTTGGAGCTGTTAAAATTTCTCTGGAAGCTAAGCAGCACAGTATTTTGAGGAGGTTTCTGGTTAGTTTTTTTCTCTTTTAAGCAAACTCTCAGACTGTTTCAGCCCAATGACCAAAACTAATAGTTTGTACCAAAGAAATACAACTTATCAGTTTGGAAAGATGGATGCACTGAAGCAAGCACCTTCCAAAATCCTGCTACAACTCTGTTTTGGAATATGGCATTGCTGCCCTACACAGCCTAAGGAAATACAGTCACTGTGCCACTTCAGTCTTCACGTGGGGTAAATATCCAAGGGACCTCTATTAAGACATTCTAGTAAACAGGGTTATGCCAGAACAGCATTCTGATCCTATTTTAGCACTCCTCTACGTAGGGGGACAGGAGATGGAACCATTGCCAGGACAAACCCCATAATCAGTTAGGGAAAGAAGGGAGGTCAAATTTCTGACTGGAGCCCACATTAGACTACTACAAATGAAACAAGTTAGTCAATATCAAACATTGTCAAACACTTGAAAGTCATCAAAGAGTAGATGACTTCAAAGCAACTTCAGAAAAATTTATTTAAACCAGAACCACTTCTGTGTGTTGCCCCCACAAATATATCAGCTCAAAAAATTTACCCTGTACAACTACACTCCACATGACTTTTTTCATCATCACCACCTCTACAAAAAAAGTGATTAGCCTTCTTAAAAATAAACCACACTAACCACAATGCTGACTTGCTGAAACATAGAAAAGGATGAAAAAAGGAAAGAATTTTCAATTCAAGTTATATGAATACTTGGCCTATGCTATGAATAAGTAATGATAAAACAAAGTCACTTCAAAACACGAAGCCCATCAGAAACTCATTCAATCAGCTCATGTCTGTAATTAATTTGGAGCAACAGAAACAAAGATATGCAAATCTGGTTGGGAACTCAGAAACTAAACATGGAATTTGGCAACATTCACAGTCAGGCATGCCCAGATGTCTAATAAACCCAGGCAGAGGGACACAGTAATTTTTTCTCTGAAGAAAGGGACTTACTATGAGAAGATTTAAAACACTAAAAGCATGAGTAAAAAGATGTTGAGTTTTGCTGTGTGTGCACAATAACATCTCCATAATGAGCATACTCACATTGCTCATTGTCTTGCTATTTCTACCATTTCTGACAACTTCTGGTAAACCTACTGATGGATCTCCTACATCTTAACTCCTCAGTAATTCCTTTACGGATCACTATAAGTGAGAACACACTCAGTGCTTAATTCATGAGTGGTTGTTCTTTTTTGGTACCTAAGGCATCACTTGAGGTACTCATACAAATTTCAGAAAACAAAAATATGATAAATTCTAGTAATTTTCTCTAAATTCTGTGGAGTGAAAAAGTATTTTAAGTAGACTGGGGGAACTTTATAAACTATTTGTTTTTCATATACTGTTCCATCTAGTGTAACTGACATTCCACAGTTTTCTTTTAAAACAAAAAAAAGGGTTAATCTTGTTACAAACTATGGGGTTTTTATGAGATCATAAGAACACTGTACTTCAGCAGCCAGCAGAAGAGGATCTAGAAGGGAAGAAAAACACTGTTTCTATAAGGTATTCACTAAAAAGCAGCTGTTGTGTCAAACAATAATTACAGTTCTGGGCTCCAGTGCCCATTGACAAAAGTGCAGAGAATAAAAATAGGTAAAACCAGAAAATGCTGAGTTTGAGATTTGAACTGCCAGATACACTTCTAAAATCTTGTATCAGTTCCCCTACATAATACCTGCAACAAAACTGTCCTGAAGCTGATGTAAGTAACACTCACCTGTGCTATACAAAATGTTCTGCTCATAGCTGAAGACAAATCATTCAGGGAGGAGTTTGAGATCTATTTTTTTTTTGGCCTTTGATTTAATGTCAGCTACAAAGGATCCTTTTCCCATCCTGAACAACAATAAATTTCAAAGGTATTTTGGCACAAAAGGAATGCAAGACTCGCAAATAACTGAGTCCTATTAATTAGCATATAGTTACACAAGCCCATTTTTTCATGGAGCAATTATAGATCCTTTCTAAATTGCAACTCCAGCAATTCATGACTGGAAAGAATAAGTCCCTCATAATCCTGAGAATGTATTTAATGATGTGCTCCACTCCTTTCATGTTCATAAGCTGAATAGCACCTACCAACAAATGAATATTCTCTAAATCCATGCATCTGGAAAAGAGCAAAGCTTTTAAATGAACCTAGATACAAAAGCACTACTAAACTTGCCATTTATCAGAAAGCTAACAGTTCAGGCCAAATACCTTATTCATGCTGAAGTCTACAAGATTAATTGTATGAGCTACCCTTATTTTGGCCTTCAAATAATCTAATCTAGTGTTCCACTGAAAACATAAAATTCCAAACTCAAGTGTAGTGATCAGTTTAAAACCTATACTCTGTTTGCCAAGGCCACTGATCATGTTACATAATAAGAGCTAAAAATTGTCCAAATGTAACAAGAGTTATTCTCTCACAGAGTTCAAAACTTTTGCAATCTGCCAACTCTCTGCAGTTACCAGTGGAACACCTGACTAAAAACATTCACAGCACAAAAACCATATAAACTGAGTAATTAACTTGAGAATGGGAATTTAGTCCTTTATCTCTCTCCAGCTGACCCTAATTTGAGCCAATTTCTGTTGATGAGGTTTAGCATTAAATTCAGAAGGCACTGAAGAAAAAAAAAAAACATGCTCACAACCTCCATTTGATCTACAGAATTATCTTAAGCTGCTAAAGTAATATTACTAGAGATACCAATAACATTGGTTCACTTGGTGTCTGCCACAGCAGAAATAACATAATACTATCTTGCAGAGTAGAGTAGAAAGTTTTGTGGCTCCAATTCGTACCTAAGCAAGTTTGTTTGCATGCACTTTCTTTCCTGCACCCTCTTTCAAAGCATTCTGCTTCGGAGGTTGCTTTCGTCATTAAGTTGTAAGTTTGCTTCCACAGTGAAGACAAGTATTTGGAGATCCTCATAAGCAAAGACATGTTTTCTGTTCTTTAGTTTAATTCAACAAACACATCACTGGTCACCCAGCAGAGGAACAACTCCTGCTTGTTTCCCCCATGGAAGCAGTTAGAGGAGTACACTTTCCAGCTTAGACATAACCTTAAACTTTCAATCTTAAGAGCAGGAATAACAGCCTGTGCAGCTCTCATCTAGCGATGATCACTGCTAGCCTACGCAAGCAAAAGGGAGAGATGTGTTCTGAGTAGAGACACATAACACCAGCTTTACTTTTTCAGCACGTGACAGAGCTGAAGACCCAATTAATTTGCTTTGGAATTGAATAAACTTAGATCTACATGTCGGAGGTTATAAACTCTATTTTGGCTCATGTTGAAGCTCATTCTATCACACCTTCAGCATTACTATAACTGATTTAGGCAGGGAGGCTGGACCAGACTCACAGTGGTTCCTTCTAACCTTACTGATTCTGTGATTTCATACAAGTCAAACCCAGCGTGGGTTTGTACAGTTATACATTTAATTTGCTGCATAAGCACACCTTGAACTAGTTTACTAACATTTCTTCAACATTTCCACATAAATCAATGCAAGACAATAACACCGTAAAAGCAAGAGTTCAGTGCTATTATAAGTACTATCTATGAAAGACAAAACGTATACACTTGCAAAGCAAAAATAAACTCAGTCGAGAAAGGATGCTTCCAATACACTTCGCCAGCGGACGTGACAAAACCCCAGACAAATAAACCTCTTAGAATAGTTATTGTGCGCAAAAGGTGAATTTGAAGACATCTTACTTTCAGTGATGTAGGTTTCCTCACAGAACACATATGAAAGAAGCAGGAAAAACTTTTAAGCTGAGTATATTCACTGCATCCGTTCACACAGACAACGCGTGTGAGAGCAAACCCCGACCCAGCCGAGCAAAACAGTCTCCAACGGGACGCTGCCCTGATTCTTTCGTAAACCACGTTCAAACCCTACTGAGGCGTCCGCTAAAATCATTTACTTTTTAGGCCGGTTTTAACACGTTACTGAAATTTTCTCGCCGTTGATTGAGTGCTTCAAAGACGACTGGAAAGATGATGGAAACCTCCCCGCCGGTAGCACGGAGAAATGTACCTGGTAAGCAGCGCGGTGCCCTCAGCACGGACCCCGGGCGGGCTCTCGCAGCCCCTCAGCGCGGCCTCGGCCCCGCACCGGCCCCGCGCGAGTCACAACGGCCCCGCAGCGCTCGGACCCCGCCTGCCCTCCCTCCACTGACCCCCCGGCCCGGCGACACCCGCAAGTGCCACTCTGGGAGAGGGATCCGTGACTAATCAGGAGCCGCGGGGCTGCGCTGCGACGGTCGGAGTTCCCCGACCTGCTCTCCCTTCCTCCCTCCCTCCGCCCGCCACCGCCGCCCCCGCCGGACCCCTCCGCCCTCACCCCGCTCGTCCCTCCGGGCACGGTCGGCGGCAAAGCGCAGCCCCGGGGAACCGCGCACCTCTGGCGCCCGGCCCCGGGAGCCGCTCACCTCTGCCCGGCTCAGGGTGACTCCCATCCCCTCAGCCCGCCGGGCTGCCGCTCCCTCCTCGCCCTCGGGAGCCCCGCGAGCCGAGCAGCCGCTCACCTGGCGCCGGGCGACCGCCCGTCCCGTCCCGTCCGTGCCGCCCTCCTGACCCGTCCCGTCCCGTCTGTGCCGTCCGTGTGTCCCGTCCCGTCTCGTCCCGCCCCGCTCGCTCAGGGCTGGACACAGCGGAGGCGGCCCCGGCAGCTGTGGCCGCCGCTGGACGGGGGGCGGAGGCAGGCGAGGGAGGTGCTGCGAAAAAGCCGAGGGAACCCGGCGCGGTGGCGGAGCCGCCTGGGAGCGGCCCCCGCGCCCCCTCGGCCAGGCGGGCTCGGCCCCAGCCCCGCCCGGCGGCCCCGCGGGTGCGGGCGGTGTCCCGGGAGCTGTGGGCAGCGCCGGAGGAGAGCGGCTGGCCCTCGGCAGGCTGGAGGCAGCGAGCAGTAAGCAGTAAGCGTGGGGACACCGTACCCGGACACAGCAAACTCGGGTGGAGGGAGCTACCGCTCCGAATAAACTGTTTGAAATTATTTTGTGGGCAACTCGTTCGGTGTTAAAACAGCTTTTTTTCTCGTGTGATTCACACTTAAAACAGACTTAACTACCTTAAGCCCTAATGTAAGAGTAATTTATTCAGAATTGACAGCCTTCATTTACTTTCAGTAAGACTGATACCTTCAATTGCTAGTGTAAATGAACTTCGTAAATTGTAAATTGACTTAACTACCAGGACAGCAGTAAGCTGAAGCTGTGTCCCTCCTCTTCCCCTTTTTAATTGCTTGAAATGAAACATATTCTGAAAATGCAGCATTTTCAGTGACTTATTTTATACCAAAATGTTTAGGAACTACTCCCTGCGTGTGAGGGGAGCTTTGGTCACTGGACACTGCTGAGAAAAGCCTGGCTCCAGGGCATAGCTGGGGAAAGCACATCCAAAGGGAAAGGCAGGAGCTTTAGGCAACAGCTCTTCTCGGTGTTACTGAAAAGATAAGATGGGCAAATTCTACCAACTCCATAGACAGTAGATATTCCTAAGGGTACAGAGTGTGATGAGTCCACATGATGAGCATAGTTTTGTAGAGGAAGTTCTTGTAAAGAAGAGCTGAATTTAGATGAAGAGGCTTGTTTCATTCTGCTGAGGTCAGCCATGTCTTTGGATGCTTTGGAGCTGGCATCTAGTTGAACATAAGGCCAGTGCTTTTGCAGTTCCTCACATAGGAAAAACTGGAGGCATTTTTCTTTCTCTGCCTTGCTTAGTGGAGTATATTTCACTTCCCCAAAGGTTTAAGGAACATAAATTGTTCTCTTCCTACCTTATACCACCTGTGAGAATTTTATCTCCTTCTCCTTCACTTCTGATCTGGATGTCTGAGGTCAATGATGTGGCTCAGTGGTGTCTACACAGAAAGGCTAAAAAGTTGAATGATGCTGGAAACTGAAGTCCAATTTTCTCCTAGACACCTTACCTATTGGTAATACAGGCTTAGGAAGCTTTCTGTATTGCTTGTTGTGTGAATAGTTACCAGCGTACAGATAAAGGGAAGTTTGCCTCTGTGTACCCACCAGCTCTGACAAATGATACATTCTTTGTGATAAAAATCAGCTAGTTGATGAATTTTCAAGCACTGAAACGTAATTGAGGGCAAGAGGAGTTACTTCAAAATACCTATTCTTTCCTCTTAGACCAAGTTCATTTACTATGAGAAAATACCGTGCCTAGCTGGAAAAGTCCCTGAAATCTATGTATAGTCACTCAAATACCAGTATGCCATCTGTACAGTTCTAGGACTACACAAGATCTGGGCAGCACTGCATGGAAGCCAAAGGCAAACTCTCATGCACTTACCGAGACAACACAGAATTGAGCAGGTCTGAGGAACAAGCATGAGTAACTTAATAAAAAAAAACTTTTCAATCCCACTAGTTTGTTCTGTTTTTGAGAAAATGCCAAAAAAAAAAAAAAAAAGGTTGTGCTAATTCAGGTTGCTCAATGCCTCCTTTATTGTGTGCCTGTGCAATACTGAACACTGGTTTGGTAGGAACAGCAAGTGAGAAATGCAGGTTTAAGAGAACAGTCCTTTTATGAGAAGGAGTCAAGTCTTCTCTCCCCAGATAAAATGATCATATTAAAATATCATAAGTAAAATTAATAGTTTCTGGATTTGGAAGTCTTCAGAAAATGGGCGCATGGATACCATAAAGTGGTGTTGATATAAAGTTTTGCCGTGCATCCTCCTAGTGGAGAAATACTATATTTCAAGGTTTTAACAATTAAAGAATTTTATTTTTACCTATGTTCAACCAGACTGAATGTAGAAACCCCAACGACTCCAGCAAAGTCAGGGCCTAAATTCACATTAACTTCATCTTAACTAGAATTTCATATTATGCTTTCTGAGTGGTTTGGGATTTATCATTATTTTTTATTTAAATTCTTTCTCTCTTTATTTATGTATGGATGTGTATACATGTTTCCTAGGGAGATTAGACATTTCTGTGTCATATTGTGGCACTCATTTTGTGTCTATTTATCCAAGTGGAATTTGTTCTGATGATGTAATTCATGTCTCAGTAGGAAAAAAAACATATGTAACCAGCAAGGGAAAGGGGAGAGCGGAGGTAGTGGGAGAAGTAAGGTCTGTTTGCCTTTTCATTTATGCTGTAAAGGTTTGATGTTGTTTCACAAAGATGCTTGTCAGGACAGACTTGTCCTGTTCTTGCTTCTCCCTACTCCTCCACTATCTCTAGTGGGTGGGATTGGAGGTTGCTTTGCCCTGTGATGTGTATATGGTCAATCCCAGGGAGCATAAAGTTAGGAGAGTGACCGTTTCAATGAATCACATTAACATAACACCTTTTATGTCAGATCTAACTGATCTAAAATCAAAGCAGAAAAGACCTAATGATAATTTCCATGACATTTTGTAGGGTTCTGTCTTCTTCTTTGCCATGTTACAGGTTTCTCTGAACACCAGAAACTGATTGGAGGTATAAAAAGCAGTTAAAATAGATACAATTCTCTGCTTCATATATAAATATAGTCCTTCCCAAAAATCACTCATGTTCTATTCTATAATACCATGTAGTAGTTATGAGTCATGCAAATTACAGATAATTAGGTAAAAAGTAGGTTAGGTGTTTTTTAACTGGTGATAACAATGAAGAATAAATAAAATCATATATGAGTCCTTCAGTCTATGTTCTGCTTTCTACAAAGACCTAAACAATGAGTGAGCAATTCTAGGACAGGGAAATGATATGGACTAGTGATGCTGAAAGGATTTAAACATATCAAGGGAGGAGGATCTAAAGTCTAATCTTAAAACTGCACATACTAGGCACAAAGCTGAGAGCCTAATTTGTGAGAGAGAGGCTGCCTTGTTAAAAATTTGTGCCTGACCAATAAATCTGTATCTTGCAAAAGAGTCCTTGGAGTAGATACATGTATCTAACATTCTAATAGAATAACTACTTATTCATATTCTCTCATCAGAAAGTAGCATGTAGGTGTGGGTACCGTGAGCGCAGTGTTTGCTGGATGTTGACTGAACCAACATGTAAAAGAAATCTCTTAGATATGTAATCATTAAATAAGGAGGTTTAGTCTATCCAGCTGTGATTTTTACACATGTTGTCAAATACTAAGTACAACACCTAGGCTAAGATTTCCTTTGGACTGTAGTAGTTTCTTCATTAAAAAAAAAAAAAAAAAAAAAAAAAAAAAAAAAAAAAAAAAATCTTACCTACTGAAGCTACAGGAAGGATATTAAAATAGTAATAACAAAAAAATCTGTATTCCTGTGGTTAACTTCTAAGTCTCACCTCACTAATGAAATATGCATTTCACTTCTTGTATCATTACTGATGACAAATGGTATTTATGTTCACCATGTTATTTGGCCCTACTGAATGTTGCAGGGTCCTGCTTGCAATCATACAGCCATGTCATGTCAGACTGTGTTCCAGCTCGATGTTCCTATTGCATTTACATTCCAAAATGGAATAAAAGTGGAAGCCAATTTGTTAGGTATTCAGGCCAAAAGAAATGAGAAATCTTTGCTACAGTTTTCTTAAATAAAATTTCGTGTTCTTTACATGAAGAGTGAATGATTATATGTAGCAGCAGGATGAGCATTCTGTTCTGTTGGGTGATCAGCCCATCAGTAATACCCTCTGCAACACTCCGTTCTGTGGAGTTGAGAGCCTTCACTATTACCTGTTGGAGTAAAAAGTGAATGGAACACAAACTGAAATGCAAGAAATTCAATTGAAACATAAGAAAATTATTTTTTTATGGTGAGAGTCATCAAACACTGTGCAGGTTGCCCAAAGAGGTTGTGGAGTCTCTACCCTCGAAGATGTTCAGAAGGCAGGATACAGTCCTGGTCACTCTGCTGCAGCAACCCCTGCTCTGAGCAAGAATTTGGACTGGACCATCTCCAGAGATGCCCGCCAGTCTCAGCCTGACTGTGACACTGTGAGAAGAAAATGCTGCTAACACTCTGCTTTCCCTTAGAATAAAATACCCTTTTGGCCAAGCAAAGGAAAATGATCCTATAATTGTAAAAATACTGGAGGGTGGCAAAAGGCTCATGCACCCCAAAGCCCAGACCGAGGTGCTAATCAACATTATGGGAAACTACAAAGAAGAGTTGCCAAGAAAAGCAATCTGAAGAGAACACCTGGAAAGGACAATTAAACCTTTCATTGCTCTATTTACAGCACT